CCTTATTCGTTTAGCAATTCGTAAACGTAATCGATTTTTAAAAAAGCATATTAAAATCCCACGCTGAACACATGGGAGCGTTACCGTGCACAACGAAATCAAACTAATTACTTAATTCGGGAAGGAAAAAAATCCTACTATGAAAAAGTCAATCGAGATTTAAGTGATTCTACTATAAATAATAAGAAGTGGTGGGCAATCGTGAAACGGATTTACGGCGCAAAAAAGCCTTCAATTCCAGCATTAATTGAAAATAATGTTGCCATATCGGACCCTGTTCTTAAGGCTCAATTATTTAATGAATATTTTATCTCGCAGACTAAATTGATTGGATCAGATAACACTCCTCCTTTCATTGTTCCGTTTCAGAATTCGAAATTTATTTCAGATATAGTTGCTACAACTCAGGAAGTCCTTTTTCTAATGCGAAACCTGTACAAATCCAAAGCCTGTGGTCATGACGGTATTGGAAATAAAATAATTAATCTTTGTCGTGAAGGTTTTTGCGTTTTTTTTACTAACTTCATAAATTTAGCCTTCAAAATTGGTAAATTTCCATCTCAATGGAAACTAGCAAATGTTATTCCATTATTTAAAAAAGAAAATCGTCAATATAAAGTTAATTATCGTCCTGTTTCGCTGTTGCCCTCGTTTTCAAAAATTTGTGAGAAAATAGTTTTCGATCGTCTCTATAATTTTTTGATAGATATTGGTTTTTATATAAATACCAATCCGGTTTTAGACCTGGCGATTCTACTATTAATCAGTTAATCTATATTATTCATCAAATTTATTTGGCTTTTGAAGAGGGCATGGAAGCACGTGTAGTCTTTTTAGATATTAGTAAAGCTTTTGACAGAGTCTGGCATGCTGGATTAATAGTAAAACTCAAGGCAGTGGGTGTTCGCGGTCCACTGTTAATGTGGATAGAAAGTTATCTCAAAGATAGAAAGCAGCGCGTAACGATCGAAGGCCATTCATCTGATTGGGCAGGTATTAAGTCTGGTGTACCGCAGGGGTCCGTTCTCGGCCCCCTTCTATTTCTAATTTATATAAACGATATTACTACAGATCTCGATTCCAGACCGTTTATATATGCTGATGATACCATGCTTTTTGAAATTGTCCAAAATGTGAATGTTTCTGCTGCAAATTTGAACGAAGATTTAACTAGAATATCGGATTGGTCTAAAAAGTGGCTTGTTACCATGAATCCGTCAAAATGTCGAAGTATTATATTTTCTCTTAAACTTAATAAACCTGATCATCCTGCTTTGCTTATGGACGGCGCTTGTATAATTGAGGTCGAAAGCCACGCCCATCTTGGCCTTATATTTCAAAATAACATGTCCTGGCGGAGCCATATACAGAACATTTTTGAAAAGGCTTCCAAAAGATTAAATATGTTAAAATTGATTAAATACAAAGTTAATAGCTCTACGTTAACATGTTTATATAAAAGTCTAATTAGACCTTTAATGGAGTACGGAGACGTAATTTGGGATAATTGCAGTGAAATAGATTCCAAATTATTGGATAGTATTCAGTATGATTGTGCAAAAGTCGTAACAGGTGCTATTAAGGGTACAAGTGCTAGAGCGTTGAGGAATGAGCTTGGGTGGGAGAATCTCAGTGTAAGGAGAAAAATGCACAAATTAAATTATTTTTATAAAATTACTAAGCATATTTCTCCCTCTTATCTAGTAGACGTATTGCCTATCACTGTAGGAGAAAGAGTTAGTCGTTCTCTACGTTCAAATGAAAATATTAGCTCGTTTTTATGTAGAACAATGAGAATTAGGCAATCCTTTTTTCCTTCTACAATAGATTTATGGAATTCACTAGATGCGGATATAAGAAATGCACCTTCGTTTAACAATTTCAAAGCTCGTCTTAAATTAGTTTTTGGTTGTTCAAAGTATAATAAGTTGTACGATGTCTCTGTTACTCGTCGATCGTCGATTTTACATACCCGTCTTAGACTTGGTTTCCATGCTTTGAACGAATATTTGTGTAGAATAAACTGTTGTCCATCACCCGTTTGTGTTTGTGGCAGAAGCAATGAATCTGTCCATCACTATTTCTTGTCTTGCTCCCGATTCGCTGCTCAACGTAACATATTTCTTGCCTCTGCCCAGCGGATTTGTGGTAATAAAAGGTCGGAGAGTAGCGATGGGATAAAATTGTGGTATATTCTTAATGGTATTCAGGATTTAAGTTTTGATGATAATTGTAATTTTTTTAAAGTCATTCAGAATTATATCCTTTCAACACATCGCTTCTCTCTAAGTCATAGTTAATTCAAAAGCATGTTTGTAATTTGTGTGTGTGCATGTTTTTGTAAAGTATTTGTTGAGTATTTCTTCCTTTTTTAATAAAACCACAAAAAATTTGTAAAGTTAGTGTGAGCCCCCTAGATAAGTCATTTGCGCTTTTGGGGCAAACACATTATATTATTAATAAAATATGTTTAAAAAAAACAACAAAAAACTGGGAAAATTATGATCCTACATGCAAAATCGAGTTGATCGAGGCTTGAAAAAAAGTAATATTCTTCAACTGCAAGAATATATTGTACGAACATACATACTTACAATTCAGATTTTAAATTACAACAGTAATCGACAATCCTTCACGGCTCAAAGTTCGTTGCATGAAAACACTTTTCAAACAGATTGACAGATACTGCGCATACCCAGATATCCAGGGACGTACTGTAGCTGCCGAAGGGAGGGGTTTTACCCGTTATTTCGCCATGGATAATCTCAATCATAAACAACTCTCTGGCGAACAATATATTCCCGAATACTTGGAAAATCGCGGAAGTAACTCTCATTCCAAAAGAAGGTGATCATGAGCTGGCGAACAATAACCGACCCATTTCCCTATTACCAGTTCCTTCAAAAGTATGTGAGCGTGTAGCACTCCACCAACTGACGTCTTACCTAACCACCAATCATCGTCTCTCTGTGCATCAAAGTGGCAACAAAACCTGGCATTCAACAGAAACCTCACTTATTCATTCCACCGACTCTATTCTTAAAGCAATTGCCCAGAAGAAAGTAACAGCAGTTATTCTTTCGGACATGAGCAAAGCTTTTGACAGCATTAACCATAATATACTGCTTGCTAAATTGAAGGACGTTGGTGTCTCGTCTAGATGCCTGGGTTGTTTTAAAAGTTACCTCAGCGAGAGATACCAAGCAGTACGTATCAACTCTACTCTATCTGAGAAATTGCCAGTAGCTAGTGGTGTCCCACAGGGAAGTATTCTGGGCCCGTTACTTTTCAGTATTTATTTGAATGATTTGCCGTCAGTCGCCAAAAGTTGTTCATCAGAATCGTATGTTGATGACACCAAACTCTTTTTGTCCTTCCGAATCAATGACTCGAACATTGCGCTGACTGATCTAAACGAGGATTTGATTAGAATGCGAAACTGGTGTTTTGATAACCTGCTCTTGCTGAATCCAGACAAAACTAAATTGATGGTCTACGCGGAAGCCGCCAAATGCTCGCGAAGTTACCTGATTTTAGACTCTCGCTACTTGGTAAGGAACTAACACCTGCTTCATCAGTGAAAGATCTCGGAGTTAAGTTTGATCCAATTCTCTCCTTCGACAATCACATCCTTTCTACTGTTTCATCCTACAAGTCAAGTCTCTGCCAAATAAATCGCGCTAAGCATGTTTTCCGTAAAACCTTTTAATAACTGTCATCAACGCCTTAGTATTTAGCAAACTCTACTATTGGTCCTCGCTTTGGTCAAATACTTCTTGCAGCAACCTATCCCGACTTCAAGGAGTCCAGAACTTCGCAGCACGAGTAGTGAGCAACAGAAGGAAATTTGACCACATCACCCCGATACTTAAGGAACTGCGCTGGTTTCCCGTGAAGTCACATCTGTACAGTCGCGATTCTTTATTAGCTTTCAAATGCATGAATGATTGCGCACCTGCCTACTTATCGTCTCAGTTCAAAACGAGAGGTGAAGTGAGTGGTCGCGATACTAGAAATACTAAACAGCTGAACGTTCCGTTATGCAGATCAACTGCAGGAAAAAGAACATTCCATTACCGAACTGTCACTCTCTGGAACAACATTAACGCTGACTTAAAACTTTGCAAATCTATTCCAAGCTTTAAAATTAAACTGAAACGGGAACTGCTTCAGCAATTTCTAGATAGTTAGCCTAAGGACATGTTTTTCTGTTGTCGTTGTCGTTGTTATTGTCGTTGTTATTGTCGTTGATGTCGTTGTTGTTGTTATTGTTGTTGTTGTTGTTTTTGCTGTCGTTGTTTATGATGATTGTTTATGTTGTGTTTGTGTATAAAGTAATTGCGTATATGAATTTAGGATCTGATGTATAATTATAGTAATTAATTGATATGTATATATATTTTTGTCACTGAAAAGCCCCTTTAGGGGAGTGTCAATAAAGTCAATCAAACTCCCCCCAACCAACACAGGCGGAAATTTAAAAATCAGGTAAAATCACAAAAGGTTAGGAATAAAAAGTTAAATCTGAGATTAACATATATGATCAACCAAATTGTTACGCAATGGTGCTTTTGCGCATTGTTCCGTTGGAAACAGAAATTTAAGATTAATTAAGCTACTACAATTAAAATTTTTAAAATCTAAATTTCCGAAAATATTACCCAAAATTTAACAAATTACTGTACGCTAATTCGAAAGTTACTGAAAAATGGTATGTCCGGAAATTTTTTACCCCTCAATGGAAATAATTGATGGGAATACAGTATTCAGTGTCCTTGCATGATATAGGCTCTTAACTAAAATTTCAGGTAAATCTAACAACTTTTTAAGGAAAGAGAAGACTTATTTACAAGGTAAGTTAATTGATCAAGGTAAAAAAATTTGATCAAACGTAACAGTTCATCTTAAAGTTTGCTATTAAAACTTTATGTGTTGCTTAAGTTCTATGCTCAGTACGTACATTTAATAGTTGTGCAATTGCATGAAGTTATTATACCAATTCAAAGATGAGAATTATTCACCTCCGTATCATCCGTATCAATTGTAACTTCAGACACATTTCCTCGGTTCGGCTACAGAAAGGGAATTCACGTGCACTGAAGGATGCCAAAATTTGTATGAAAAGTGCCCGTGAAAGTCCCCCCCCTGCCTCTTTTTTTCTTCCTACGCCCGTTTATAACAACAAAATGTTCGATGAGGTTTTTGTTGAATTCGAAATGATTAGGGTCGAGATAAATGTTATCAGCAGAGACCAAAGCCAAGCTGGTAGACAAGATCTATGTCCCACAACATGATGTTTGTGAAGGCAAACTCCATCATGCAGTAGCTTCGCCCCTCTCAGCACAATACGATAAAGCACGAACTTAGTCCGCGGTATGAAAAACTACTTTCATAAGATTCTGACACTGCGGAGTACAACGAAAAATTTCTTGTCTCCAGCAGGATTCCAACTCGCATCCATTGATCTACGGTCGCTAGGCCAAGGCCTCTGAGTAATTGAGCAATGGAGTCAACGAGGATTGGTATTGCCAATTTAAGTGCGCGAAATATTTTCACGAAGGCTTTGTTAGGAGAACGCGCAATGTTCTAATTCTATTTCAGAACCATCCTCAGAGAATATCGCGGAAAACGTCTGCGCATGCGCTAGAAAATTGTCGGGGATTTTAAATGCCAAACTGTAAACAAAAACATTGCTATTTAATATTTAAGGGAAGGGAAACAACCAACAACTTTAATAGACTTTAATAAAAGGTTTTCTAACATTTAAAATCTAAAAAGAAACAGAATTTAAATTAAAAATTATCGTTTTAGACCCGGAGGCGTGTGAACATTTCTTGAAAAATTGTCGAATACAGAACAAAAGTTAAGCAAACTATCAAAGAGAATACTGAATCATTACCCTTAAATATAGTCAACGCAAAAATTATACATGCTAAGCAAAAAAATTATTGAGAAAAATGTGGATCATATGAACGTATGAAAAATATCTTTGTATGGTTCAGTTAAAGAACTTTTTATACAATCAATTTATCGACAATCACTTTGATTCATTTTCTTGCATAATACTACTTCTTGCACATGCACTCATGTAGACTGTAATTATTTCTACGAGTGTGTCTATAAGATGGACGTATTTTCATCTCAACATTCTTCATAACGGTTTTATAATCATTTTTCCAATGGTACCAGATAATTCGACTTCTTTGCGCAGTCACATTTGACGTCGCGAAATACAGCCCATTCAGATTAGAGTAGCCACACCTTTTGTACCACCAAGCACCTTGGCGTTTCGTTGCGCAGTTCTGGTCAACATTTACGTCATTATCTCTGTCGTTGGTCGTGAACATCATTCCGTTGAGATTAATGAATGAATCACCAGCATTGCCTGAAAATATTCAGAAAAATCCCAAAACGTTTGGAGTTTGAGTATGCTTATCAGATTCCCATCTTGGGATTTTTGGCTTCACTTTCCTCCCGTGTTATCGGGGGCTTAGGAAGATTGGTAAACGTAGGGGAAAGAGGGACGGGGGCATTTGGAAACCTGGTGTCTCTAAATCGTCCGAAATGAGATTTTCATTGTCTTCTCTAGAGAAGGCTCTGAAAATCCCATTTCAGACGATCCGTGAGTCAATTGGGATTTTTTTTATTAGTCGGCTGATATAAGCAATATTTAAGAAAAAAATTCAATTATACGCATAAAGTTGAAACATGCACGCATGGAATCTTTGATATATTTGATATAAAGAGTATCATGGTATCAGGAATATGAAATAGCGTAATCTTAATCCATGAGGAGTTCGTTTGAAGGAAAGAGCCATGTATAAAGCTACATTTTTCGCATTTTCTAAAACATATTGTTGCTTATAATATTATTTATACTGTTGTCCACCGAATTTCAAGTCTTTTTAGTTACTGTTTACACATAGAAACTGCTTGTAACTTAAACCAGGCAATATTTTACGAGAGAAGCATGTATATATGCCATACTTCACACTTTTATAAATTTAGTATGGTTATGTTCTGTCTAACTTTTATTGCCTTGCTATAAGTCAATTGTTATATATATTTACCTGAAAAATTCCCAATGTTTAGTTTGTAACTGTCTGACTCAGAAGCCGCACAAAAATTCTTATACTCGGCGTAGGCGTGTGTGCCAGCAAAATCCCACATGTCAATTCTTAAAATACTTTGAGTAGAAGATGTGGTCAAACGATGTATCTTATCCAACCCAAGCCAGAATTCGCCGGTCAAGTTACCAAAACCAACTTTATAGTCTGACCAACCACGATAGAAATCTACACTTCCGTCCTGTCGTCTTTGAAACAATGTCCAACCTCCGCCATCTTGCATATCACACCAGACTTTGAATGTTCCGAAGCCATCAGGATCTATAAGATACACACCATCTTCTCTTTCCCCGGATTCATAAAAACTTGCACAACTCTGTTGTGGAACTGTATAGTAGGTATAATAAAAAGGTTAAGGCAATGAGAAAGTATCGAATGTGCCTCAATGGAAAATTTTGACGTTGCGCCATAATGTATTCAACAACAAAGTATACTTGATATTTATATAGTATACTGACAGTATATATGTACCAATTATTCTCGCTGCTTGCTTTCCCGCGCAATACCTCTGAATTAAGATTGGGGCCAAATAATTTTCTGTGGACGGTACAGTGCGGCGAAGCTACCTCCGTTAATGTCGCAGACGAGAGGAGGAAGGGGGTCCCGAAAACATTCTAGTGCCGTTGTCACAGGATTTTCGCCCCCACGAGATTCGCCCCCTCTTAGGGTATATCTTAGGGCATTCGTCCCCTCCCCTCTTTAGGTAATACCCCCCTGATCTCAAAACAAAACGATTGCAAGTTGAAAATGGCGTTAAAGTGCGATTTTTCTTACATTAAATAAGAAAAAAATTACCCAGATGTTTTAGACTTCTTAGCAACAGGTGGTGCGCACAGTCGGCAGAACCATTCATTTGGTACATTTAGCCTAGAGTCATAAGTCTCATATTGTGCACGGCATACGCGCATTCACTAGTGACAATTATAAGCAATACATCTTTCGATAACGACAAAACATGGATGTAAAACAATATTAATAATGCACATCTTTTATAAGCATTTTGAAAATGTTTAATATATCGAATAATGTTCAATTACGACGAAATGTTTCTGGGCCTTGCATGGGTATGGCACTTTGCACAAACTTTCAAACATCATTAATAATTTATAAGCTTATTGGCGAATCATGTCAACCATAATATGTCGCGTGCAGTGGCTTTAAACCTGATAAAATACTCCTAATTAGTATTCTTTATATATAGAATACTAATAAGGCAGTACCTATTGTAGTCGTGTCCTCATCACTATTCTTTATATGAAGAATACTAATAAAGCAGTATATCTATTGAATTTGTAGTCTTGTTTGAAGCCGTTTAATAAAGTCGCAGGTCGTGTTTTATTAGGTCCAAAGACCTAATAAAACACTCCGGCTCGTTTATTAAACAGCACATAAGATCGTGTATTTAATTTAGTTTACATATCGAAATTCGACCAATTCCATCATACGTATTTAAAAGTATTGGAAGCGAAACCAGGATTCATAATTAATTGTGTAAACGGTCTCTGGTTAAAAAGATTTATTTGTTACGGCAAGCTTTCAACTGCCAGTTTGCAGTCTTCGACGGGTAGATTAATAATGCGCTAGTGATTTAAGATATGATACGAAGTGAATAGTGCTATATAATAGCGGTTTACAATTACATTTACTGACAAAAAAAGACAATTATACTGACAGTTCCGCCTACATAGAAGATTGGTAACTAATTATATATTGTGCATAATTTACTAGAGTTTTTTGAGCAAAAAGCAAAACACCCCAGATTCTGGGGTGTCACGTCACCAGCCCCAACTAGGGTCTTTCCGCAGCTTTTAGAGCTTTTCGGAGGACTGTTTGACACTGGATAAATTTTACAGATGGAGGATAAATACACAGGCCAAATTTGGTATTTGTTAGAAAGACAGTACTTAGTGTTCCTGATATTGGCTTGAAGCTATCTGCGGATATATTTGTTGGCAATAGAATCGATATTTTTAGTAACCCATGTTTTAGAAAGTTTTGCAACGGAGAAGTGCCATGCTAACTTGGACAAGACGTAGCGACTGTAGAAGAGAAGTTTATATTCGGGGTGCAGTGACTTTGAGTCAATATCAGTCATTAGTTCATTAAGTAGAGTGGTTAGTTAAGTTTTATGTTTATCATTCGACATGTGGAAATCACTTGCAAGTGATGAACCAGGCGGGAATCGTAATCGTAGTATAAAGATTAATGCCCAGCATAACGTACGCAAAAGAGCCATATAGACAATAATATAATATGAAAAATTTATTTAAGAAACACTAACGTTTCGTCTTTAACCTAAGACATCTTCAGAGTAAATGAATATGGTAATTTATTCATATTTGTAACTCATTGTCATACTATATTCATTTACTATGAAGATGTCTTAGGTTAAAGACAAAACGTTAGTGCTTCTTAAATAAATTTTTTATATTATATTATTGTCTATATGGCTGTTTTGCGTAATAGTGGAAATCAAAGTAACGTCCTAAATATTGAAATGATTCTCCTGGACCAATGGTAATTTTTGGTATTAGTTGATTGCTGATGAGGAGTTTTGGCAAGTACTGAACTGATTTTGTGATCGATTTTTTAATGCCAAGGTACTGCATTTGTCAACTTGGATAATCATATCAGATCATTGGCACCAGTGAGATAGAAAATAGATTTAATAGATCGATGTTAGTTTTCGGATTCTTGGCCAGTAATTACTGCCGCAACATCAGCAAACTGGGACCTGTTGATGGAATTAAGTAATTTGAAGGAAAATCCAGAATGACGGTACTTTTCAGCATTGGTATGCTGAATGAATATATTGAAGCACATGTTAAAAAGAAGAGAAATGAGGCAATCTCCTTGCAATACGCCATGGCCAACTATAATAAAAGGAGTGGGAATTCAGAGGTAATTATCGAGGTTTGGAAATCAGTATATAAACTTTTTATAACAAATTAATGCGGACACGACTACAATAGATACTGCGTTATTAGTATACTTTATATAAAGAATACTAATTAGGAGTGTTTTATCATGACAGGTTAAAAGCCACTGCACGTGACATATTATGGTTGATATGATTTGCCAATAAACTTATGACAGAATTATTAATGAGTGTTTGAAAGGTTTTAGTGATCTTGAAATTTCGAAGAGCACACAGAGTATAGTTTTGAGTGCAAAATGATTAGTGGTTGTCTTAGTCCGTATGTTGTGACCTCGAAAAGTGGCTAGAAAAAGATTTTCATTAAGCATGTCTTAGATCTGAAATATTTTTACGGGAACTAACACTTTCGAACACGCTGATTTCAAATCCGAAAAGTTCCCACTCCGTAGACCCGCAGTTTTTTCACAAAATGCTATTTTATCTTCACTAATTTCATAACAAATTTTTTCATTGTTCAACGACACGGATAGATGACGATACACGATTATGTCACTCAAAAGGACCAATTTCTATTAACCATTCCTCCTTTAAACAAAAGACCGGTTTTGCTGCAATCATTCTGAGTTATCAATCTTATGCGTGTTGGACGTAAACAACATATTTTGTCTGCAACTTTGGGAAGGTACAGATAATTCCTTCTAAAATCCTTAGTTCTGGATCTATCTCTATAAAATCACAAGGACGTTAATGTCAAGTCTTTGTGCTATGTCTCTGGAATGAGAAATAATTCTTACATGCGATCAAAATGTTTTATACAAAAATATAAAACGGTAATCTATATGTAATGGATCAGCATTGAAATTTCCAACACGGTTTCCAAGACGTAATTCAAGAGATAACTTATCATTGCATTTGAACTATTACATGAGTTGGTGTTATGCTGTGCGATAAGCGAGTATTATTGGAAAGAGGGCTTCTATATACGTCGAAATCATCAAATAAACAGCTCATGTACACATTTCTCCACTTCGCGGTAAGTTTACAGAGCATATTTTATACTTTGTGACTGATCTTTGTCTTTGATGTGAACATTTATTCTTATAGTTTAAGGTTATTTAAGATTGATCCTGTCGTAAGTCTTCTACCTGCAACCATTCGACAATATTTCGTTTTAGCGTTGTCTTTGCCGTTACGTTGGCTTCGCGTTACTTTTGTTTTAAATATCTTGATCGCGTTAGAGGAGTTATTTTTCAGGCCAGTGACATAGCTAAAAGACTTGATATTAATGTTCTTGTGATTTTATAGAGATATCTCTAGAACTGAGGATTTTAGAAAGCGTTATCTGTACCTTCTCAAAGTTGTAAACAAGATATGTTGTTTACGTTCAACACGCATAAGATTGCATAACTCAAAATGATTCGAGCAAAACCGATCTTTTGTTAGAAGGAAGAATGTTTAATAGAAATTGGTCCTTTTGAGTGACATAATCGTGTATCGTCATCGATCCGTATCGTTGAACAATGAAACAAATTGTTGTGAAATTAGTGAAGATGAAATAGCATTTCGTGAAAAAACTGCGGGTCTACGGAGTGGGAACTTTTCGGATTTGAACTCAGCGTGTTCGAAAGTGTTAGTTCCCGCAAAAATATTTCAGATCTAAGACATGCTTAATGAAAGTGAACGATATCGGGTAACAACACACGAACTATCTAGATAAAAATATTGCGTGACCCCTGTTGTGACGTACATACATATCTACAAAAATTCTTCATGAAGATGGCGGACATTTTATACCTTTCGATCAAACATTTGTAGCAGTAAGCAAGATATGAAAAAAACGGTAAAGAGTATTATATATAGTCTTCAAAAACTCATTAATAATTCATGAAGCAATTATCCAATCTTGAGTAAGAAATTAATCACGTGCATACGTCTTTATACCAGCTAAAGAACACTTTAACAAAAGACCATTGTTATGCAAACTATATAAAGATTTTTATATAAAGATTTTTATATAAAGATTTTTATATAAAGATTTGACTTATTATGCATACGTTTTTGAAGTCATTTAAAAAACTCGCGGGTCGTGTTTTATTAGGTCTAAAGCCACTCGCGCTGCGCGCTCGTGGCTTTAAACCTAATATAACACTCCTGCTCGTTTTTTAAATAGTACTTAAAAGTTCTCCCAAATGAAAAAATAAAAAAATATATTGCCATTTCCCTTTAACAATAACAAAATAAATCACCAAATTTGTGCACTAATTATTGAATGTAATATTGGTACCTCTGACGTTGTCCTCTGAATCGTTTGCAAAACAGCTGGCATTGTATTCCTACAGTGAAAAAGCTCGTTAAACTATTTTCAACATCGCTTGTAGTGATTTTAGGTGAAATAGCTACAGTCCTATCAGCTATTATACTGTATTAGTTTATTAATGATTTACCCTGGTTTCTCTAGCTAAGTAATTTATCAGTCGTTATACTAACGCCACTAATTAGATAGTTGAATGATCAGAAAAAAAAACCCTGGCAAAACCGCTTGAATTCTCTGACCATACATGGGCACACATTTGCTCTTTTGAGTTGTTTCTAGGGACAGAAGAGAGGAAATACTAATTCCGGCTTTCGTTGAAAAATTTACTATACGGCCACACTCATCTTACCTTTTCTGGGTCAACAAGATAGACATAATCGAATGAAGAGGTTTTCATCAATGCATTCTCAGAACTATTGTGGACCACGTTGTGTAATATTTCACAATTTGGTTCATTCTGGAAGGTTGATGTCTTTTTGTAGTTAATTGATCTACAGCATACCTCTTTGTAGCATTCCATTACGCAAGCTAACTTGTCGGAAACAACTTTAATCATCAAAACTTTTGTATCAAGCTTGAAACCTAAAATAATGACACTATCAATTGGCATCTGGAAGTAATTCTAAAACTTGAATATTTATGGAAGAAAACATGGCTTTTTTAAGCGCGATCTCAAAAAGTATATATAAACTCTGTTTTCCTACAATTTATAGTGTAAGGATTACATTTTCCAATTTTGCTATCCTTTGACAATACAACGTAACTGTCTTGCGGTACTATCTTTTTATAAATTTGGCGCCTACCTTTCAACCTTAAATTATACACATTGTTCACACATCTGGCTTTCGCAATTTCCAGGAGAGTGAATGGCATGAGTAAATACAACAAATAGTATTTTGAATACATTGTTGCTCGTCCTGTTATCAACGCTCTAAAATATAGAAACGACTGATAGTACTTTTTTGTAAAATTAGAAGAAGCAAAGGTTTATTTTAAATAACATTGGATGAAACTACATAATAAATTGAACTACATACACGGCCAAATCTCAGCCATACGCTGTCATGATTAGAGAATGTATGTTGCAGTGTTGTACAATTGTTTTGTTAGTTTTCAATGCAAGCTGTTATCAATGGCGTACTAATGAATATTGCCAAACGTGATGCTTTACCTTAAACATTTCCTGATTTCCACACGCGTAATACGAAAAGGCACTTGCCACTGCATGGGAGAACCTTTGCGCAGAATTTGGTATAATAGGTAATTAAAAATACAATGGCGGATATTCAAGCGAGATCATGTACAAAATATATCGCAAAATATAAAGTCCCTAAATTTCGACTTTCAGCTGTTAAATTTTACGCGGCTTATCAGAATTGGTAAGATTTTAAAAACATGGGAAAATCGTTTATAGTTTTAAGAAAACTCGGATGCAGGTTTTGCTTTAAAAAGAGCGAAAAAACAGACTTGACCGCAGATTTGTTACATTACATTGCATTATTATTCAGATCACACGCAATTGTGGCTTTCAGTGACCGATTACATCAAGTATAATTACGTTCATGTTACTTACTTAGCCTTCACGGCAAAAAACGCTCAGGTTGATGCAATACTGATGACAACAGGATTGAACAATGTTTTGCTGCCTACATTGTTCATAGCTGTCAACAATATTGTTGAACCCGATTGAACAATATTGTCACACCCGATTCAGGCTCAACAACGTTGTTCAATATTGTTGACAAGTGTGAACAACGTGGGCAGCAAAACATTGTTCAGTCCTGTTGAGCAACGGGCTCGGAGTTTTTTTGCCGTGTAGACTATTTATCTTTACAACTATTGAGATATTACTTTCCTAACTGTGTTTATCCTAACTCATTCTGTCAACTTTTCCTGTGGTAGGAAACCGGAGTGCCCTCAGAAAACCTACGACTTTCGGCAGTGCGTTGACAGACTCTTTTCACATGAGTCCATAGGAATCGAACCCACCAATCTCGTGGGGTTGCGAACACATGATCACAGAGGTGAAAGGCACTTGCTCCGACTACTGCGCATATTGTAAGCCTTTAGACCAATGATAACTTAGTTTGGGTTCTTAATGTTTTGTTTAATATTTTTTTAATTGTGATCATCACTTTAAAAGTATTTGTTACTGTAAAATGTGCTGCTTTATACACAGTTATCCGCTCTATACAACGTTTTAGTACATAAATCTATTTACATAAAACTTGTTCTCCAATTAACTATGACAAGTTTTTATCTGAAAAGTTTTATTTTTCAATTGCCTACGCGTAGGTGCATCAAATTTTCTATTCACAAGTTTTAGTTTTCTGACAACCATGATAGCTATTATTAGATATTACAACGATAGACATGGACCAATCGCATGCAATTGCTCAGATTACCTTGCTAAATGTACTTGTACGAAAATTGGCCTTTTTGAACAAGTGTGTACTGGTCACCATGCATATACTGCTACGAGCAAATGAAACTTGTCATGTGACTAAACTTGCCATAGAAAACGCGCAAGTCTGTAACCGAAAGCGTTGATGCTTTTTATGTATCGAAGTACATTATTGCAGGGACGTCAAATATTTTTTATTCAAATATCGTATATTACACGTGCGCGGAACTGATGTTACACACACCTACTAGAAAATAGCATGTAAAGGTTCGCCTACTGGGATTTAATGCTTTGAAGAGGAATATGATGGATCTACTCTTGTTAAACCATTAGGCCATTGCGAAAATATTATCTATAAGTTAAGTCCTGAGAAAATATCATCTTGGGCTTAATTTAACAGTATTCCTGTAAGTTCCAACATGAATCGAGAACTTAATTGCTAAAGCGTCGATCAAGACGCACAGCTTAGTGACTATACATGCATTGCGGCTTAAGGAGGTTCGACATTCTAGTCTTCATCAAACCACTAACACATGAACAAACCCGCGTGACTATTCCTACAACCTGACGTGCCGAGTTGTCCACGCAATCACACGCCAGTGCGCAATGCGCGTGTTGTATACGACGTTATGTATATCTATTGCCAACGTTGTTAAAAAATATCCGTCTAATATCTCTTTATT